CGTGCGTGCGTGCGCGCGCGTGGGTGGATGAGTGGGTGGGTGGGTGGGTGGGTGGGCGGGTGGGTGTAAGAAGCCTCAACCCTACATACCCAGAGCCCTAAGACTCCCCAGACGCCCACACCGCTTAAACCTCAAAAACCCTGAAAACCCGAAACACCCTAAAACCCTAAAAATCCTGAAAGCCCCAAAAAACCATAAAACCCCAAAAACCCTAAAACCCTAAAGATTAAACTTTGAACCGCCGGTCCTGGGTCATCGGCACAGGCACCTCCACCTGCTGCTCCACATGCTGGTGGATCTGACCTGAGCATTTGGGGGTTTAGGGTTTAGGGTTTGGGGTTTAGGGGTTTAGGGTTTAAGGTGAATTATAGGGCTTAGGAATTTGAGGCTTGGGGTTTGGAGGATTAAGGAATCAGCGCATTGGGTCTGGAGTTCAGGGTTTAGGGCCTGGCGATTTTTAGGGCATTCGGACACGGTTTGGGTTTAGGGAGTTGGGCTTTCGGCTTAGGAATTAGGGTTGAAGTTTGCTGAGAGTCTTAGGATTCGGGGGTCAAGGCCTTGCACTGTCGGGAAAGCAAGAGGCTCTTGCCATAGGGTGTTGCAAGGTCTGAATAGCATTTCTGGCTTCAGCTGTCTAGGTTCTTCATGTCATATAATACCCTAAACCCTAAACCCCATAATGTCTTGGCTCTGCGGCATGCAGGATGCCGAGCCGATGTCTTGCTTGCAGGCGCCCGATACAGATGCACAATCCTAAACTCTCAAACCTCAACTTCAACTGGCCTTCTTCTCGGCGCATGAGTCTTTCGGAGTTTTCTTAACCCCTCCCCAACCCCCAAGCCCACCCTAACTCCCTCATGCCCTAAACACTAAACCCTAACCCCAAACCGAAAAGCCTTTAACCCCCTAAACCCTAAACCCTAAACCCTAAACCTGAAGCTTAGTCCTTCGGGTTCCGCGAGATCGGGATGCCCGGAAGCTTGGAAATCCCCAAGGGCCCACGTACTCTTGAGGGGTTCCTTTACGTAGGTAGGAGCTTCTTTTTAAGGTAAGGGTGTATTGAAGGTTTTCTTCTAGGGTTCTATCAAAATTTTCTGCGGCTTTATGAGGGCTTTGTAGGATTTAGAAGGAGATTCATGAGGGACGCTGGAGGGCACTGCAGGGTCCGCCTACCCAACTAGTGTGTATTTCAACCTTGATAGCCCCCCAAAGGGTTTTCAGGCAGAAGCACATACTATATGGGGGGTTTCCGAAAGTAGGGGAACCCTAATGTAATACCCCAAATAGCAGGATCCTTATTATAAGGACCCCAAAACAAGGTGCCCCCTTCTTTTCGAAAACTCCCATATAGGCTATATAGGTACATGGACAGCTAAGGGACTAGAGTCGCATCATGATTAGACTTCGGGGTTCGCATCAAGTATGTGACTTTAAGGAGTAAGAATCGGGGCGCTGGTGGTATGGTATAGGTATATTACACCATAGCTGTACAGGGCAAGGGGATAGTATTGCTACTCATGCAGCCCTCTACGTTAGATTTGGGTCTGTGCTTCTGGGCATGGCATTCTAGGGCTCCTTACTAAGGCCGCTAAGCCCTCCATCTTCAAAGGGCAAAGGGAGGGACCCTTAATGGGGATCCCTACCCTACAGTGTACAATGGGCTATATCATGGGCACATAATCGCTATATCAAGGTTACATACCTAGGTGTCCTTATTGAGGGTCCCTCCTTTCATCCTTGGACCATGCCCCACACCATGCTTCTAAAATTCCTGAAGCTCGACTTGGCTCGGGGACGAGTCTGCGTGACGATCTTGGGCACGTGCACTTGCCTGGTTGTAGTTTCAGGGCCACGCAAGGCATTCATGAATAGGTACCTCTATCGGAGCATCAACCCTAAGCCCTGAACCCCAAACCCTAAACCCTAAGACCGTAAAATTGAAAAGTTTCCCAAGCTGCTACCTAGCCGCTCCTCCTGCGTCATGGGGACCGGCACCTCGAGAGCGACAGAGCAGAGCGGGCATTGTCTTTTCAAGACCAGGGGTTCTGGGGCTCTACAAGCAGTCTACAACGGTTTAGGGTTTAGGGTTTTATAAGGATTCTACAGGGGTTTAGGGTTTAGAGTTTTATAAGGATTCTACAAGGGTTCTAACACGGGGCTTAACGGGGGTTGAGGGTTTAAGGCTTCGGGCTTCAGGGGTTTTGGATTTCGCGTTTCAGTTGGGGCTTTAGCGACTGTGCTGGTTGAGGGAACCCTTAACCTCAACCCTAAACCCATAACGCCTAAGGCCTCAAATCCGAAACCGTAAACACCCAGACGCTCTCCAGTCTTTATTTCTCCTCCTAAGGCCGCAAACCGTGGACCCAAACCCTTGGGGCCCAAAGCCGGACCCTCTCAATAAGGCCCCTTTTAAGAGTGCCATCAAGAGGGTTAAGAAGGGTCCCCTTTAAGGGGCATCCCTAATACTACCTACGATAAGCCCTTGAAGAATCCTTTATATAGAACCCTTCTGGAGCCCCTGGACAGAATCCCTTAGGGACCCTCTTATAGAACCCTTCTAGGATCCTCAGAAGCAGCGGCGCACCTCCACGACCTGCTCGACCGGCTGATGACGGACACGCGTCTGGGTGATGATCTTGGGCACCTGGGAAATTAGAGAGGTTCTCTTTCAGCTTTGGTTAGTAAAGCTTTTGCAGGGCGCTATGGTGGTTGATAACTACACGGTTTTGACAGGGGGAATCATAAGGGCTCTAGCTTTACGTATGGCCCTCGGGTTTAGGGTCTCTAGAATAAGGGTCCCCATGTTCTCCGAGACTCATGCCTGGACCTGCTCCTCCTGCGTCATGGGCACCGGCACCTGCACAGCAAGCAAAGGGGTGGTAGGGCTTAGAGGTTTACGGTTCAGGGCTTAAGGGCTTCAGGGTTTCACGGTTTAGGGTTTAGATGGGTTTAGGGTCTCAGGGCTTCAGGTTTAGAGGTTGAATGTCACATAGCCTCCATGTTAAGGGTTAGGGTTGAGATCAGGGCTGAGGCTGCTTTGGGTTGAGGGCTTTAAGGCTTTAGTCTTCAGGTGAAGCCCCGTGGCCTCGACGATTTGCTCCACGGGCTGATGACGGACTCGGGTCTGCGTAATAACCTTGGGCACGTGGACCTGCTCCTCCTGGGTCATGGGGACGGGCACCTGAACAGGCACTGGCACGATGCAGCAAAGACTCCTGCGTACTCGCTGCAGTCGATGGATGCCCTAGACCTAGACCCGATCCTTGATCCCGAAATCTAAACCCAAGCCAAAAATGCAGCAGAGCCCTCTAACGGCACTATGCCATCCCTGAACAGCTAAACCCTAAACCCGAAACCCCCAACCCTTGACCCTAAACCCTAAACAGCCTCGACAATCTGCTCGACCGGCTGGTGCACAACCCGAGGCTGCGTGACAATCTTGGGAACATGCACGACCTGGGGATGTGTCTAAACCCTAAACCCTAAACCCTAAACTGGCTTTGAAACTTAAAACAAGATCTGGGAGCTAGTCAACCAGTCGAATTCGGGTTTCGGGTCGCAACTTCCCGAACCGTATAGCCTATAACCCTAAACCCTAAACCCTAAACCCCAAACCCTAAAGGAACCCTGATAGGAACCCTAGAAGGAACCCTAGAAGTCGGTCTTGAAAGTTGAGAGTGCCTGGCTTAGGGTCGACGAGAAGATGCTGGGATTGTGGGATGTAGGGTTTTAGGTTTTAGGGTTGAGGGTTTAGGTTTTAGGGTTGCGGTTTAGGGTTTAGGGTTGAAGATTTAGGATTCAAGGATGTACCTACAAAGTCGAAGGTTTTCGAAGGGTGTTTGAAGCTCGGGGTCCGGATTGTAGATTCTACTTCAAGGGCAGTGCTCTCTTGGCTTTTTGAGAAAGCCCCACCTCCTCCTGCTGCATCGGAATGGGCACCTCAATCATCTGCTCCACGCGCTCCTGCTGCACTCTGGTCTGCGTGATGATCTTGGGGACGTGGACCACCTCCTCCTGTGTCATGGGCACGGGGACCTCGACGATCTGTTCAACGTGCTGGTGAGTCTGACGCTTCTGGGTCACCACCTGCCGATTGGGACTCAAGTTCAGTCTTGCAAAAAACTCCTCCCACCTCACCCTCACAGCATCTGCGAGCAGAGGACTCAGCAATAGGCCACAAGATCCTAAACTGTCAAGCGCCTTCGGCACGTGCACGGTCTGTTCCTGCATCATCTGGACAGGAATCTCCACTTGCTGCTCGACGTGCACATGATGGTGGCCTCAGGGCAGTTGCCACACGATGAATACAGGGGCCATAATTTTTACAGCAACGCTTGGGGGCATACTATACTAACGCTATACAGGGCCTAAATGGGAGTGTTTTTGCTGTTTTGCCAGACCCATCTATTGTCTCGGCAAGGCAAAGCAAACTACTGCTGTTGCTGTACTTCGCGAAATTGCTGTGGAGACAAAGCTATGACTATAGTTGACAGCACAACTACTGCTATCTACAAGTCAAAGACAGCATGTTATGTTCTGTATTGTCGCGAAACCGCTATTAGCATAACTGGGGAGATGGTATGCGAAAGAGTGTCCAATCAGTGTCAGTAGTATGACAAGTATCAGTTTTCAATACCACAGTGCTACACAGAATGCAAGTTGGCAAAGTACTGGGCACCTCCACGTGACAATCCGTCAACTCTGCTTGAGCAGTTAGGTGTTCTGTTAAACGGCTGTCATTTGCATTCTGTGGCTACCACCACTACGACAATCAGCCCGAAACCCCAAAACCCCAAACACAAAAAAAAAGTCTTTGAGCGCCTAAACCCCCTGAAACTCCTAAGGCCCTTTAAAAACCACCCCTCCGCAAAAAAAAAAAAAAGAAAAAAAAACACTAAAGTCATAAAGCCTGAAATCCGAAGTTCACGCCTCATATACAGCCTTTCCAAAACCCATAAAACCGCTGAGCCCTAGATCCTAACCACAAGCCCCCAACCAGGCATCTCCTCACATAAGACTCTAAGACACAGATAAACCCTCATTTTGAAAGCTGGAGCCCGCCTCCATGTTAGGGCTTAGGCTTACGATGAGGGCTGGGAAAGGGCCGCTATAAGGGTTACGACAAGGGTTTGGGTCGGAGGCCTTCTGCGGAGATTGGCGCCGCGGAATTCTCTCCGGGCACTGGTTCATATAGGGGGGCCTTCGTAATCAGAATAGGGTTTGGGGGGTACATTAGGCTATAGTTAGAATAAGGAACCCCCAAAAACCTATTCTGCTTAGTAAGGCCCCTACATAACAGCTTCTCACTGGGATGGGAAAGTAGGGCCCTTGCGTCGGTACCCGAGACGACCAGCTGGCTACCCAGGCGAAACTACCTGAACCTCGTGGGTCAAAAACCTATGGTTCTTAGAGTTTTATTGTTTAGGAATGATGGTTTAGGGTGGTATAGCCCTGGTTTTAGGCTTTAGGGTTTAGGAAATAAGGTCTGGGGTGGTACAGCCCCAACAACTTCAACCCTGAACCCAAAGGCCCTAGGCCCTGACATCGAAGACACTGACTGAGATGCTGGCGAGCTTGGGTCTGTGTCACAGGCACATGGACCACCTCCTCAACGGTCTGAGGCACTGGGATGTCAACCTCGGAACATGGGAGACCTCTTAAAATGTTTGTGTTTGGGGCTTAAGGCTCAGGGTTTAAGGGCTTTGGGCTTCCAGTTTGGGGTATAGGGCTTAGGGTTTGGGTTCAGGGTTTGAGGCTTAAGGGAGTCACAATGGTCGTCGTCCCAAGACTCATGATAATTACCTGGGAGAGTAATAAGAATATTCAGAAAATCATCAACTCACATTGCCGCCATCATCAACAACAACAACGACGACGACAATGACAACACAATGACAACGAAGACAGAAATCACCACAGCAGAATCATGGCCCGCATGCTCTGTGATCCGGAAACTATTAAAGGTTCTTGGTTTCCCGGCACGACTTCATGCTGAATGACAAAGCAGGCTGTCCTTTTGAGTCGCAAAACTCTGCCAAAGTAGGTTTGTCGTCACGAAGCACATCACTTCCAGCCATTTTGCACGAAATTTGGAGTCCCAGCGGAGCGTCAGGACAGCACATTCGCACAACCCATAAATACCTGAACGTCAAACGGCCCCAAACATTGAAACAAAGCCACAAAGTCCAAGAACCTGCCGCTCCAAGACCCCAAGCCACCAGTGAACCCCCAACCCAATCCCCAACCCCAAAACCCCCCCTGCCCCCTAGGCCCCATCAATAAAGCGCAACTTGGCAGCAACTTGCTCCACGTGGCGGTGAGAGATTTTCGGCTGGTGAATGATCTCCGGCACCTGCGAAACTCCAGGCGACTTTGAGAAAGGCCTAGTCTCAACATCGGGGCATGCTTCAAAAGTGTCTGGGGTTTACGATTTAACTTTGTTTTCTGGTGTGTGTATAAGATTTTCCCGCCCCTGCTGCTGCGCGGATTGGGGTGCAGCACTTGCCCCCCTACCCCCCCTCACCCCCTATGGTGCCCCACCCCTGCCCTGTGCGGAAAGCGGCAATCTGCCGAGTCGTTTCCTGCTGCTGCTGCTGCTGCTGCTGGCAGCGATGCTGGCTAGCATCTTCAGATCACAGCGCTGATTCCACTCAGAGTGTCTGAAAATGAGGAAGAGAAAGCTGCGAGCCGAAAGAATGACTGGGAGAGTCTGGAAGCATGACCTCGGAACGATTTTGCAAGAGGCCTGGACAACTTGCTCCACGATCTGTTCCACTTCCTGCTGGACAATCTGTGGAACCTGCAACGGAAAGTTTAGGGCACCCTGGGCCGTAGACACAAAACTGAAACCTGAACAGTATCCGGCGAGGACTAAGCCGGTAGAAATACAAAGTTTAGGGCCCCCTTCTCAGATAATGATGCTGGCACTACATATTGATACCAGCAATCGTAACACTCACTCTTCAAAAGCTTCCTGACTTAAAACCCTGAAACGAAACCTACACCCCGAACCCCGAAGATCTAAACAGCAAGGACTTCAGCCCCTAAACCCTAAACCCTCCACCCTACAACCTACAACCCTAAACCCTATAGCCTACAACCTACAACCTACAACCCTAAACCCGACAATCTACAACCCTACAACCCTAAACCCTAAACCGTACAACCCTACAACCCTAAACCCTGCACCCCTACAACCCTAAACCCTAAACCCTACAACCCTACAACCCTCAACCCTACAATCCCTACAACCCTACAACCCTAAGCCGTCATCTCCCGATCTCAATCTCGGGGCTCAACTTGGCGGTTCCTTTCGGACTTACGAACTAAAAGGTCTCCTTAACGGGATCGAAACAGGGGTTTATAGAGGGTTTCTATAAGGGTACGATAGGGGTTTATGTAGGGTTTCTATAAGGGTACTGTAGGGGTACTTGAAGGTTCGTGCGACTTGGTAACTAAAGTTATAGATCCCAATTAGGGTACTCATAATTGTACTTACCAAGTCCCCTGAACCTCCCGGCACCTCTGTAGTACGCGTATAGAGACCCCAAAGAAACCTTTATAGATTCCTTTAAGGGAGAGCCCCTAGATTCTAGGGGAGAGCCGCTAGATTCTAGGGGCTCTCCTTAAAGGAATCTGTAAGGGTTTCTAGGAATCTGTAAGGGTCTCTTTGGGGTCTATATACGCGTACTAGAATAGACGTCCGGCTGTGGCGCTTCGGCTTCGGCCCAGAAGGCTCTGAGAAGTTGATCATCTCAGGGTGGAGGGTTCCGGCTCTGGGGTTTGGGGTTTAGGGCTTAGGGGTTCGGCTTTAGGGTTCGGGGTTGGGGTTTAGGGTTTAGTGCTTGGCTTAGGGTTTCGGTTTTAGGGTTGGGGGTTTAGGGCTCACACAGGCCTTGATCGGAATAGCTTGTTTCAGGTCGGGCATTTGAGGCTCCAAGGGTTCTACGATGGGATTTCAGCGGAATGCTGTGGATTCTAGTGTTTCAAACTGGTTCTGCAGAGTTCTTCTGTGGCATTTGGGTGTGGCAATGCTCGAAGGGCATCGCGATGCCCTTGTTGCAGTGTACGTGTATGGGGTCTAAATTCAGATGTGTGTACAGATATATAGACATAATGAGCTTGTGTGTATATGTATATGTATATATAACTATATGCAGAGGAGAGGGAGAGAGAGAGAGAGAGAGAGAGAGAGAGAATAAAAAAAGCTGTCCGACCCGATCCTCTGAAGGCGCGTTATGGACTCTTCGCCTGCCTCAACCATCTTCTGCACGACCTGCACCTCGGGCAGCAATCTCAGAGCTTGAAAAACCTCAAACTCACTAAAGACACAAAGACAAACACAAACAACACACACACACACCCGGCAAGAGCACAAAGCATTAGCACCACGGCACCATCATCATCATCTTCTTCTTCTCTGCACCCTCATAATCGCACTACTTGTTTTATAGCTCACCCTCCTTCTCCACAGCCCATCATCATCCTATTCCTCACCATCATCAACATCATCATCATCATCATCATCATCCTCGTCGTCGTCACTGCCAGCATGGTCGTTGTCATCATCGTCATCGTGCGCGCCACCAACAGCATCATCAGCATCAACACGAGTGGCAACACTGACAACAAACGACTTAAACACCTGAAGCAGACACGGCCACGGCAACGAGTACTTACAACACTGTAACGGAACGAAAGCAAGACACTTACGTCCAAGAGAATAGTGGCAGTCAGGAGATTGATAGCGATTGTAACGAACTTGTACAAAACACAGTCGTGATAACAACATCGCAGGCTGCAATGGCACCCAACAAAGAGAAGATGGTACTAATGATAGTGGCAAGGGTAGTGTTGATGCTGACGATTATGCTACTGATAACGGTGAAAGGGATGAAGACCATGATGGAAGCGGTGATCATGATACTCCTAGCAGAAGTGCCAGCTCTTTCTTGCAATGGTACTGAAGAAGGAGAATGAACATGAAAAGGTAATGCTGATGCTGATGCTGATCTTGACGATGATGCTGATTAGGATTGCTTGGAAGCCTGAATAACTGTCTAGGCTTTTAGGAAGGTTTTTTTGCCGTCGCACAAGACTCGGAACCCTACGCATAATGTGACGAATTAGTCAAACCTCCTTTGTATTATATAATTTGATGCTGGTGTTAGTAGTGATGCTGATCCACATGCTAACGAGGGTGGCGATGTTAATAGTGACGATGGCGTTGGTGG